TATATAATTATATTACCCTGCTCTCAGATGCTATATTATATGTATAGATAGCTACCCATAAAAAATCAAGCGTAATATTAATCTGAACCAGTTAATTGTTTGTCTTTATTGTTATTCAATCATTATTGTTATTCAAAGTTAACATTTCTTGTGTGTGTTTTTGTATTTTTCATTTTATGTTCCTTGTCATTTTCTGATATAGATTCCAACGATCACGTTTTCTAGCGTCGGCACCATGGCACATTTTCATTAATATTATTATTGCCTTCAATCATATTTGTAGTACTCTCGTCAAAATTGTTGCCGAAATTGTCAATCTATCGTAAGTACATATATATTATAATATTATATAGATAGATATACATTTATATTATGTTAATATATAGGAATAACTGAGTCATACTGAAACTAGAGTTATCTATAAATCACTTTAAATACCTGATTAAGTCCAGCTTCTCCGATATCACTATTATTTGGTGTATCTATTCGATATGAACTTCGATATTAGATAAAGTATGCGATAAATATATTCGATTAAAACCGTTTACCTCCAAACACCACAAACGGTGTGCTTTCCATTCCCATGTCTCTGTTAGCATAGTCACAGCCACCAATAAAGCCCTTCGGCTGATCGGGTCTATAAACGGGCCTCTCCTGCAGACATCTCAGCGGGGCCCGCTGACGCAACTGGAAGCTCTGACGGCGCTCCTCCTCGAACATTTCCTTCTCCATCAATTGCTTCTGACGCATTTCCCACTCCATTTTCAAGCGTTCCTTGTCAGCTTCACGTTTCTCAAGCTCTGCAAATGATTCGCAATACGCATTGTTAAAAATTGATTATGTGATATTTATGTGTTTTGATGCCAACCTCGACGCAAGAGCTCAGTCTCGGTCTCATAGCGAATTAGCTCAATTTGTTCCTCTAGCTTTTCCTCCTCCAGCTTCATTTCGCGCTTAAGAGCTGCGCTCTTCAGTTTGTACATTTGGTGCAGCTGCTTCCATCGTGAGCCGTATTCATGATCGAATGAGTTTGGATCAGCGAAACGTGGGCCGAAGCCGCGCTCCTTGTTAAACTGGCTAGTCTTGCTCATGTGCTTCTCGGGAAATCCATCCTTCTCATCAACGATCTCCATGGGCTCTACGATGCACGGACGCAGTGCAGCAGTCAGGAAGAAGCACTTCTCCTGGCACATGCGCATGCAGACGCTCGCCGATGACTTCTTGACAAACTCCACAATGCCCTCGCCCATATGATTGCCGCGATCATCGACCGTAATGGTTGCCCGCTCCACTGGCCCAAACACCTCGAATGCCTTGTAGAGCAGCTCATTGGAGACGAAGGGAGTCAGATTGCTGACACGCAGCGCAGTATTACTGGCGGCGAAGCGGACACGCAGCACTCGACCCGCAACCGTGGAGCCATCCAAGGCACGCTTAGCCTTCTCGGCGTTGGCATGATAGTCGACCTTGACGAAGGCATACTTCTTTTGGGGAACAAAGTAGATATCGCCCAGTTTGCCGTAGGGCTCGAACAAGTCACGCAAGCCCTTCTCGCTATGCAATTCTCCACCCAAATTGCCAACATATAGACGATTGCGACCCGAGAACTTAATCTCCTCGCCATCATCGACTGGAGCCAGATCCAAGGTTGGGCCACTCAAGTTGCGCAGACGCTGCGCTATCAAAAACTCATCAGAACGCTGCTGAGAATTCTTGTGGTTGTTGGATCCGCCTGAATAATAACCACCACAACCACCGCCTCCATAAGGATAATGAGCACCGACACCGCCACCACCATCGCCTCCATATGAATAACGACCGCCGTCAGCATCAGCGCCGTAGCCTCCGCCAGCACCGCCATAGCCACCTCCACAACGCGACTCACGACGCGATACAATGCGCGATCCAAGGCACTGACCGCCAGCTTGAGCGCCAACATTGCCAGCAACACGAGCACGAAACATCTTAGATTGATTCTCATGCTCAGCCACCTGCTGACCATGGTCAGGAAGATCGTCAACAATCACTATGGGCTCCTTTGAATTCTGCAGTTCAGAATATATAAATGTATATAAATTATAAGAAATATGCATTAAATGGAATGTAGAAAATCAATCTTGCATTTATATTATATAGAAGAGGCAGACTTAATATTATTATTGAATTTATAGACTTAATATATTTTTAAATATATATACATACATAATAATACTAAATATTATTGTCGCGCTGGCTTAACAATAATTGTTACTTGAAATTAATTCTTGCTAACAATAAAAAAATAAATAAATAATAATAATATTGTACTAAACACTCGGTATGCGAGTAAATTGTTGCAAACGAAATGTCAGACTCACCTCCTTATCTTCCCAGCGCTGAGAATTTCCCTCACGATTGCGAACTCTTGGCTTCTTTGGGGCAGAATCCCGGTTGTCGACTTCAACGTGATGGTCCTCTGCGTTGCGCTTGCCATTGGCATTAGCCAATGGATCTGGCACCACATTATCCGAAACTACGGTATTTTCCATTTTCAGAATAAAAACACAGAAAATTAAATTAATTTGCACAAACTCGACCGATGAAAGAGCTCGACTGACGATTTCAGATGTCAATTACTTTTCGCCTGCATTCGCATCGCCTACTGCTCGAAATGTATTTATGAAGCCAAATTTCATTGTCGTAATCTGTGCACAGAATTTCGATAAGATTTAGCAGTACTCGTTATCGATTATTTTTTGCTAAGCTTACTCATCAGGACTATCCAACTGGCTGTATGTTCAGGGTTACCAGGTTCAAGTTTTTTAAGCAATTGTCTTTTAGTGAAATTCGCGTTTCTGTCACAAAATCGGACGTCACAAATTAAAGATTTGTTTTGGATAAGTGGGATTTTTATAAGATTCCAAGATTTCCAAGACCTTTGAACACTGAAAATAAATATATTACCCAGGAGTTAACATTAATATAAGCAATATATATGTATACTAAATTTTAAATAAAATTAAAAAATAAAATAAACATAATAATAATGGCCAATGATCTCTTTACATATGTAAGAAAACACACATGCAAATAAGAATGGGGACTACAAACTAAGCCAAATACTCGATATTTGAAGGGATTGTTCGACATTTATTCATTCTTTGTGATATTGGATTGGAGCAAACAAGTAAACAAAGTTAACAAATAGTCTAAAGTCAAAGTTGTAGAGAGTCGAACGGAATATTAAATGCACATAGATTTGGAATTGTTGTTAGTGGCAGTCAACTAGAGAATTGAAAATTGTATTTGAACGAATAACGATTCGTTGTTTAAAGAATTTATAGTTTTGGCAAGCATGTCTTGGAAATATCCTTATAAACAAGTGCTAAATTTGGTTTGTAAAATGTCACCGAATGGGCGAACTTGTGAGAATTATTTAAGAAAGGAACATCCGGAGTGTTTTCCGGCGCCGTCTATATTCCATGTAATACGGGACCTACCGCTAAAGGCAATGAAGTTTTTGTTTTCTAACCATCAGCTACACTGTGAGCAGCAATCAAGCGCATGTCCCTATAAGCGAGGTCAATCCCAATCGCCACAGCAGTCGGGCAGCTGCTCGTTAAATTTGCACGATCAAGATTACGCCCTATTGAGTAGCTTCTTTAAGAGTCTTATCATACTAGCTATCAGCATTGGTATTTTATATGCTATATTCAAGGCTGTTGCCCAAAGGCGCGGTCCGACTCAGTAAACAGAGACAACGGAGCTCAGTTTATGACCAACAAAATATCTAGTGGGAGAGGGCAGACAATAGAACAAGATGGCAAACACATATACAGGACATTCGACACATACTTGCAAGTTAACAGTTAGTATACCTCACTAACGATATACAAATACATATATATCGCTAATCAATTAGATATAACTCAATACAGGTACAGCAATAACACTTCGGACATCAAATTAAACGGTGGGAAAAATAATGCTAATGCGCGACACAATGGCAACTATTTCGGATCTTGGCTGTGGATACTGTAATATCATATCTAAGACAAATGGATGTCTATGCGCTAATGGGCAAAGTCTCTAGTTTAATTTGGAAAATTCATCCGGTCAAATTGTTAAAAGGATCAAACTATTCAACTATTAATTACTTTTACTGTAAGTTGTTTTCAAATTTCGGAAAAAATAATAATAAATATTAAATAAATAAATGATTTATAATGGTATAATAGAAATTGAAATAGATAGATAATAGAAATAAATAAGTTAAAGTTCTTTAATTAACTTATAATAAAGTTAAATTATATATTAATAAATAGAATACAAAATATAAAATATTTCTCTTTATCTCTTTAAATAAACACATACTTACATATATAAAAAGAGCCAAAGTTATAATTCTTAAAAATCAAATAATATAATAATAAAAAACCAACTAAATAAAACTTTCTTAAAAAACTAAGTGAGTATATTGGAATATTTAATATTGGAAGTATACAAACAAACCAAGTTATTCTTCAACAAACTAATAATAAAATAATAAGAGATACATATATAAAAAAAAATCATAAGTTAACATTTTTAAGTAAATTAAGAATAACAGAATATAAATATTAAATATAACATAAAATTAATTAAAATAATATTTTCATCGTACATATACCTCTTGCTAGCGCAACTACCTTGCGCACAGCATGCAGTCTAGGGTATACAGAGTCTTAGTTACATTTGCCTCATTATGTTGCATATAGGCCAGGCCGACAATATTTTAATTTGGCCAAAGCTCGGCGCAGCCAGCGGCCATTCAGCTACTGCAACGTCTGCTGCTGCTGTTGTTGTTATTGTTGTTGTTGCTGTTCCTGTTAGTGCTATGTGTCCTGCTCTGTCTGTTGTCTGTTAACCGCAATAATTTATGCCTTTGAGCCGTGTTTGAGTCAAAGCCATAGTGTGTGTGTGCTTGTGTGTGTGTGTGCTTGTGTATGTGAGCATGAACATAATTTTGCCTATTAAAGCAAAACACTAACAACGCTTATCATTACAAGCATCGCCATGGCAAGCAAGCGGGGCAGGCCACAACAACAATCAGCAGCGCTGCGCTGCGATGCGCATCCTTTCGTCGACGCCATTTTGTTTAGTTAATGCTGTGTGTGCGTGTGCTTGTGTGTCTTCGCCTCACACTTCCTTCCTAATGCAAAAATGCGACTTTTCAGCACAAAATTTTTAGCAAAATTAAAATATTTATGTTGCCGACGTGCTTAATGCCTCGCGCTGCTGCTGCTGCTGCTGCCGCTGCGCTGTCGACGCTCCGGATACTCCGGCAACTACACCCACGGATGTTACTGTTAAATGTGTGTGTGTGTCTGGGCTGTTATGCGTACATATATGCACATATATATGATTATATGCAGCGATATCTGTATGAGCCATAGCATACTCTTCTTTGACTAAGAGTTATGCATGAATTTCCTGTTGATATGCTTGAATAATCTTATAAAATTAACTTAATATGCAATTTAAAGAATTTTAAAATATTTGATAATTTTCATTCCATTAAGTCCCTGCTGATTATCAATCACTTCCATAAAAATTCCAGAGTTTACCTGCATTTTCGCATTTAAATATTTCCCTATAGAGAGAGAGAGTATCGACGATTCGTTGTCAAGGCAGCTTGCTGCTTGTTTATTTTAATGCAGGCGTTAAACAAAAGGCAATGTTTTTGCTGAGAGTCCGCAGCTTTGCCGTGCTCCCGCACCTCCCCCTCCCCCTCCCACACTACCCCCTCGTCGTCCCCAAAGGCAACATCATGGGATGCTGCCACTTACCATTTGCACTTTAGCAACATCATTTTGCTGCATATACTAAATGTGGTACGTGGATGGGGCAGCTATGCAGCCGGAGGCCAAGCCAAACTGCAACTTCTCCATGTAGATGAAAAACAATATATTTAAGCATCAATTGTGGCATGCGCATGCCTTGTGGGCATACTTCAGGCAAGCGAATTACCCTAGCCGAACGCAAATTAAATGTTTGGCTATTTTTTTTTTACAAATTAATTATATTAAGCTTCAGCTAATGCATATTTTTATTATACAAATAAATGAAAATTTTTTTTAAAGTGTCATTAGGCCCGCAGCAGGAAGCCACAAAAACGAACAGAAATGGGGGCAAAAATGGAAAAAGGAAGCAAGGATCCTGCGAAAGGGAAGCAAAAGTAAATTAAGCACAATTCCTCGGGCATAACTTGGTCGCAAGTTCTGTGTGGCATTTTTTGCTTTCTCTCCCTCTCCCTATCCCTCTCTCCCTCTTTCACTTTCTCTCTTTCTCTTTCTTAGTCTCTGTCTCTGTTTCACTTATTCTTATACACTCTCTTCTTTTGTGCAATTTTTTCCTTGGTATTGCGTTTCAACGTCTGTTTTTTAACGCTTAAATTTATGGCTATTTTGGGACCCACCGCAGCCTCCGGGCCAAGATTTGAGCTCTTCTTTGGGACTAGCCGCTCGGCTGTGCGCTACGAACTCTGCCCTGGGGCTTAAAGTTTAAATGAATGTTTTTAATTTTTATTTGACTCATTGAGAATTTAAAAACATATAAAACTCAGTGAGAGCTTGAGCTACTGAGCAATACTCTGTTACAATTTTAATTATTTTTTTAGTTATTGAAAATTTTAAAATATTTAATTCATTTATTTGGCTTAGTTAGACTACTTGCTATATATATTTGCCACTCAAGTTGAACAGTTTACAGCCTGTTCTTCAGTTTATAGGAATGCATATAAATGTATATCCATATATTTATAATATATATATTTCTATAACAAATTTATGTACCCATTAAAAGTGACTCCAACGCCTAATGATCTCTTGAATATTGTCGATGGAAGACATTGGCTGTATAACGTATGAGTGCCTCCAATCAAGCACGTTTTATTGATGCTAGTTTACAACGGCGTCGAAACGAAGTCAAATTGATAAATAAATTTGATGCTTTGCTCATATTTCAGCATTGGCCAGCGCTTGCCCCAGTTGCTTATCAGTATCGTTTAGTAACTCCTTTATGGCTCTTGGCAATTTCACACTCGGTTGCATTTAATTTCATTTTTTTATTTTTCTTCCTTCTCGTATCTATGACAGACGGCAAATAAGTTGCGCATACGTCATGTATACTACTGTTGCCCGTCAGAAGTGGAAAAGAAAACTGAGAACAGACAAGTAAAATTCAATTCGATGACAAATGAACTGTAAAGCAGATGTCCAGTTGGCTGTCCATATGTGATACACTCCGAATCTCAAAACGAAGAAAAAAATGTATATAGGAAAAATATGGAAAAAAACAACCAAGGAAAACGGAAATTAAGCAAAAAGCCAATAGATGACTTCTACCAGGCGGAAATAGTTGAAATATTCAGTAGGAAATTTGCCAAATTCGAAAAGAAAAACAAGTGAAAACATTACAGCCGGGCATTATTAACTGCAGAATGCTCATTCGCGGCCCACTTGATGCAAGATCCATTTACCG